TCTCAAAAGTTCACACACAGAGCCCCTCACATGGCTCCCAGGTGAAACAAAAACTGCTAGTAACTAAAAACCTTTCTACTCTAACTAGGTAAAAGTAACTTTTGTGCTAGTTCACCTTGAAAACTACTGCTAGTGCATCAGTAACATGGTAGGCACTGTACAGCATAAAGGAAGATTCGATATGGTACCAGCTTTAAAGAACATACAATCTGAACAGCATATAAAATTGGTTTGGAGTTTTCATATCAAACAATTTTAAGTTATGAGTGAATTTAAAAGGTAAAGTGATTTTCTAAAAGTGAAAACGCATCCATTTTTCTAAGTTCCTCACAGTGATTCTCAACCTCTTGTCTAAATAATCTCAAACTTTAAAATAAAATCTCGATTGACTAGAAATTGTTGTAATATCTGATTGTCTCATATCTCTGAATGTTCCCACTTACCGCAATGACAAGGGGAATGGAGTTGAGAAATGGTTTTCTAGTGCCAGAAAACCCCATTTATTCCACCAAAAACCACTAGAGACTGCAGTCTGTGATTTTATATGCAAGTTTACTTCCAATCTGAAATCCCTTCCTTGTGCTTGTGCCCTCGCATGTGTTTTATATTAAGTAACATTGTGTCCTTAAACAAACAAGAAACATAAAAGAAAATACACACCAGTTGGGATGATAGAGTCTCTGTTTGCCAGAACTGGGATATGTGTGCCATCTATTGTCCCACTATAGTTCAGGAAGCTTCAAATCCCTCATCTATTTTCTGCACATTGTCCAGACTCACATGTCTGCATATCAAGAGATACTTATGGCCTTGGACACCTTTCTGACAACCACTCCACTGGGTTTTCCAACACCAAAGTGACTACCTACCAACCAGAGTTGCCAGCTTCCAGAGTGCAATTGCCACCCGCTTTTCCGCTGCCAAAGCAGCTCTCATTCTAACGTCTCTGTGCTAGAGGGCTGAGGAGAGCTCAACACACAGATCCAGGAGTGTGGCCATCTGCATCCAGAAGTTCTGCAGCCACAGTTGGTCACCCCAAATCTGCATCACAGTGCGGTCCCACCATTCAGTGCTCCTTTCTCCAGCGTAGAAGCACCACTCTACTGTGTGGAGCTGGTCAGCAAATGCCTGCAACACCCTCAGTTTTAATTCACTGTCTACATTATGCATTACCCCTCCTCAATTGTCTTATCTTCATTGCAGCACTACAGCTGGTAGCGGAAGTTCCACAAATTCAATGTGCACTGAGTTTCTAAAACAGACTTGAAAATTCCTCTGAGCTGTTCAGGATTCATGTTTCTTTTAGTGACATAATAGACAGAAAAGTGGCATGAGGAACTGTGGGAATTTTTAAAAATGGCATGAAAATTATGGGATGGAATTATGGGGGAGCTCCCATAAATCTGAGCACTGTGCTGGCATCCCAAAATGCACTGCAAAATGTCCCACGGGCATTGCATCGGGCAGTGGTGCAGAAGCCACTGGGACGTCCACGCACAGTGTACTTCATCTTCCGCTGACACAACCGCTCGTGGCTACGATGGGCGGCAAGAACAAAAGCAGCCAAATGTGCACATGCTCTTGTGCTATAGGAGTGTCGGTGGCTGTAAGCTGACAAAAGTTTTGTCAGTGAACCTTTGTAGTGAAGACATAGCCAAGCAGTACTTCAACAAAAGTACTTCACAGTGGAGAATCTACCTCAGTTCTTTTTTCTTTTTCTTTTTTTAAAACCAAGTATGTGGCCCCAGGCAACCCAGCTCTTTCCCAACAGGACTATTTTGGCTTGCTATCTGAAAATGGCCTGTGTCCTAAAATTTATTTTAATTATATACTTTTTCACTATACCTTAAAACAAAACAGCAACACGAGGGCTAGTCTTGTTGTTTAAGTGGAAAATTAGTCATTTGGAGGAAGCATGAAATCATTAATTTCACAGGCCAGCTATTTTAGCCAATTCCCCATGCAATCATTATGAGGAGTTTGTAGGGAGACTAACTGAAATCCTGAGAACTACTGAAAGCTACACTATTATCTGTGACCCTGTAGCCCATTAAGATTTAAGAGCAGTTGCACTTCAAAATCCTCCCACTCCTGGATTTGTGTCTTACCAGATAAAAGCAATTTGTGTTCAGTTTATTATTAGCACAGACCTATTTTTGCTCTGATGCTTCCTAGCAACCTCAGTGGAGTATCTGTTTGTTAGTTTGCTTTTCATAAATTGTTATCATAAGCCCATGGTAACATACAAGGAAACAGTACTTGATGAACTAGCTGATACCCCTGACAAGATGAGGATATGAACAATGAGCATATTATATCTACACACACACTTTTTCGTTTATACACACATATATACAAGGGAATATACAGTACATGTGACATGGACATATATCACATATTGTAAATATATACACATATGGTGATATCCATGTGAAAAGTCATAGAACTATGTGAAGAACTAATATCGTATATCTTTGAGCACCTCATCTGTCCCCTGTCCATCCATCTTCCCATCCTCCTTTGAACTTTTTAACATTCCAAAAACATTTTCAATGAGTTGTCATTATATATGAAATAAAATCAGCCTCACAGAGAAATATTTACTTGTTTCCCCCCTCAAATTATGTTCAGTCCTGTAGTAGAGGGCAGAACATCACAAATTAATCATCCAATATCTCGCAGCCTTGCAGTGCTTTCCGCTTTTCTGTGGGATCCAATACTCGCTTTTTCCTTTGGAAGGGCCCAGGAGAATGGATTTGAAAACTGTGATATTTATATGCATAGAAAAACTGTTTCATTCCACTTTGAGAGGGTTTTATGGCTTCCTCTGAGCACAGAAACACTGAACTCATGATAAGGAATGTACCTGCTGTTACAGTGAGAGTATGAAAAATAGTCATGATAAATTTTCTTTAACGTCTCTAAATCATTCCTACAATAACTTTTTTCATGTACTGTAAGTATCTTATACAGAGTACATGATCGATTGTAGTGTACAGCTTTTATTGGCATAAGTTAGGGATGACCTGTATAACTCATTTTTGTCACTCATAAGTAATGTGGCTTCCTCAGACTCATGCTGATAAAACATTTATACTCCTCTATCATGAATTCTCTATATTACAGGAAGAGACAGTTGCAATACCTGGTTGCCTAATATTTTCCATGAGAAGCCCCTGTTCTTAGTTGTTTATAACTGCTAATGTTCTTACGTGGGCTGCTTACGCTCTACCTCAGGCTCAATTTTTAAGTGTCAGTAAAAGTGGCTTAGCTGTTTCCAAGGATTAAGTTTAGGGAAAAGAGCTAGTTTTGCTAATGTTAAAAGCCTTCTCTTTGAAGATCTCTAGTGCTTCCATGGTAAAATTGGCAGAGTGATAGTCCTGGGGACAGAGAGGTCCCTTTTCTTCCCCATGAAAACACACCCAGATTTGGCCAAGTTTGAAAATCATCGTTTGTGTGTGTGTTTAGAGCTTTATAGAAGCTTGCTGCTAAAATCTCTGAACCGTCCCTGTGCACTGAAATGTCTTCCCAGATCTGCACAGATTGAGCCTTACATGGGGCAGGAGCAGCAGCTGCCTCTTTGACCTAAGGGAAGGAGAGAGCCAGTAGGAAAGCATGAGTTCTTCTCGACTTACTGACTATAATTCTGTGAAATTCACAATCCTTCTTATTGAGCAAGGCTTCATAACTGCACGTTAAGAGACAGGCAAGTGTCATTCCCCCATTTTACCAGTGGGGCAACAGGTATTGTACAAAGTCACTTCAGACACAGTTGAGACCTGGCCTCTGTTTCTGATATGGCAGAACCACAGCATGTCAAATCAATGTGCTTAGCTCTGCTATTTGTAACCACAAGAACAAACTCCCATTCAGAGCCGGGAATAAACTCCTAAGATTCTTCTGTTGTCCAGCAAATAATTAGGTAAGCCACTGTCAAAGTGTGTGCTGTGTCCCCCTGTAGTGGCTGGTCCACATAGATGTTAACAGTTCTTTATTACTACTAGTTACTCTCTTAGCTCAAGTTTTTGAGATCCATGCTATGAATATAAAGGTCCTTAATTCAAACCTTACTGCTGATCCATATGGCAGTTAATATGGTTCCATGTATTTTATTTTTCCAGTTCCCTTTTTAAAAAAACCTAGACATTTACATACAATAATTACTTTAAAAGAACATTATGGTTGCAAAGTCAAGCATTCAGTCGTTAGGAAATGACAGAATTATAGTTGTCCATGAAATCTTAATTCAGCCCCCTTGTGTGTGCTGTATGATGTAGTTTAATTACATGATCATATATTCTTTGTTCTACAAGACACCTTCTTCATCCAGTGCACAGGATGGACAGTGGATGAGGCAGGAGGTAGTAAGAACAAGGATGTTCTATTCTGGTTAAGGTCCTAGACTGGGACCCAGGAGAGCTAGGTTTTACCCCAAATGTCATAGACTTCATACGTGATGGTAGGAAACAGGTTTCAGAATAACAGCCGTGTTAGTCTGTATTCGCAAAAAGAAAAGGAGTACTTGTGGCACCTTAGAGACTAACCAATTTATTTGAGCATAAGCTTTTGTGAGCTACAGCTCACTTCATCGGATGCATACTGTGGAAAATACAGAAGATGTTCTTATACATACAAACCATGAAAAAATGGGTATTTACCACTACAAAAGGTTTTCTCTCCCCCCACCCCACTCTTCTGCTGGTAATAGCTTATGTAAAGTGATCACTCTCCTTACAATGTGTATGATAATCAAGTTGGGCCATTTCCAGCACAATAATTCATAGCCACAAAGAGTCAAATGAAGATTACAGAGGCAATCTTTATTCTGGCATTTCCCACCTGCTTGATTTTGGAATCTTAATATTCTTTTAATCCCCCCCCCCATGTACTCTGTGTGTGTACTATATACACACACTGCACACACTGTAGTTATAGTAATACACGTGTGGTTTGCTTGTTGATTGTAGGTTGTCTAATTATATTGAATTGAAATCCCGCAGGCTAGAGAAGATGTCATCCACATGCTGAAGACAGAGAAAACCAAACCTGAAGTTTTAGAGGCCCACTATGGATCTGCAGCTCCAGAGAACGTGCTGCGAGTGTTGCATAGGGATGCCATCCTTGCCCAAGAAAAATCTGTAGGGGAAGATGTCTATGAGAAACCCATTTCAGAGGTAATAACTTATCCAATTCCCCAAGAAAGGATGGATAGAATGAGTCATGATGAATAGACTGTGCCCATTTACCTTGCTGTCATTGCACAAAGCAAGAGCCAAATGCAGTGTTCACTGCTCATGCAAATAAAAGGAATTGAAGGGAAGGTGAATATTTCCTTGTTACGAAACCACCAAAGCATGTTCCCCATGATAATAGCATTGGCTCTGAATGCAAAAACAAAAGCCTCTCATGTTCTTTAGGGGACTTTGCCCTCCTTCCCCCCCTGCTCCCCTAAGTAGTGAACATGAAGCAGTTAAGCAAAGACAAACCCTCCCAGGATGGTGAATGATTACATTTTGACTCCACATTTTAAATTCCTTTCCATTAATAGGTACAAATCTGTAGTGATAAGTGCTCTTGACAGTGTGTCTTCTGTTAGAGTATCATCAAGTGAGCAGTTAGGATGAGAAGTCTATTTCACTCACACCAGTGTAAATTAAATGTTACTCCATTGAAGTCAATCCACATGCAAAATAAATTTCCCTCCCACCCCAATTTTCATGAGACTGGATCATTGCACCAGGTGAAGAAGTTAAGTCTAGGGACCAAATCCCATAGTCTTTACTCAGTCCTTAGAAAGTTTGTCTTCAACAGTCATTTTGTCAATACGATGACTGTGGGCACAATCCTGTACCCAATGGCATCAGTCAACCTGATTCTCTGTTATAATGCTGATTTTATGCTGGTTTAATGCCATTGAAGTCAACAAAGTTACACGAGCATTAAAATGGTGTAACAGTGTGGAGAATCAGGCGTATAGGGGGCAAGATCAGGCTCTAAGTTAGACCTATAGCATTTGATCCTTGGTTTGAAGTCTATGAAGCTATACCAGTGTAGAATAGGTAGGAGACCAGAAAAAGGTCCTAATATCTACAGGGTGTATCCAAAACTAAGCACCGAGCACGTTCTTAAGATAAAAAAGGCCATCTTTGAGTTCAGTTATTAAGGTAAAAACTAGCATCCCTAGGGTTTTAGTTAATCTCTTCTACTTTTTCGAAATACATCAGTAATAATGGTACAATAATTACAGTAATAATGATACAATGGTTGAACAACCCACTGTATTAGATGACATTTTTTCAGAATTTAGAGTCAACAGAGTGATCAAACTGATTCAACATGCCTGGGTGATTGGTTATGTTAAAAAAATGTAAAGAAGGATCAGGACACATTATAAATACATGTATATTGTATCTGAGATCCCCTCACCATATTCAAGGTGTCCAGTGCAAATTATGAGGCTAGGTATTCATAAGAATTGGCCAAGAGACCCCCCATATTAACTCATGCCAACATTTGCTTCATATAGGAAAAAAGTGAGTCACAAAACACCCAAGAGTCTTAGGATGCATGCAGCCACTTTATTGCTTAGTACCAGAATAGGAACAGTGCAGCTGATGAACTCTACCCGCAAGTCAAAAAACTAGCACTGATAACTGCCAGCCAAAAAATGTACAATGTGCCACAATGTATGTACAATTTTGCAAGGACTTTCTGGGTAGAACACAGTACAATTCATATTAATTGTGTCTAGTAGAAGACAATTTAAAATACACTGCGTACTTTTAATGTGACATCTTCTGGAATATTTGTGAGGTGAGTAAGTGGGGAAAACAGATTGTACCATTCAGGAGGATACATTAAATATTCACTTTGAACAATGATAAAAGAACTTAACAAGACTCTTTTGTAATAGGTGGCAAGGGCACTGTATCCATGGAGTCCCATGGTTTGGGAGGGACTCTTTGTTCTCTGTAAAACTTGTACAGCAAGGAATTTATTAGAAGATGATTGGTATAAAAATACCGCGTTTACAATATTTTCTGGCTTCAAAAGGTCCATTGTCCAGATGAGAATGCAGCTGATGCCAGGCTCTCTCCTTTATGAAGTTTAATGAGCACCTCAGACTCTCCTGTTTATCATCTAGAGTTGTTTCAAAAGGGCTGCAATCCTGTTCTCATCTTTCCATTAGCCCATTACAGGGATAGCATAAAATAGCAACTAGCTTGGCCAGCCCTGGCTGTAGAAGACATGATTCCCACAATGGGTGGGCTGAGTGTGATCAGGTGATATTTTTGTTGGAGGCACATAATCAGAAGGGTACTGTGTGGGTCTAGCTGAATGGGAAGTTTGTTACAAACTGAATGAGAACTCAGATTCAATTGCCTTCTCCCCAACAAAACACTGAAAGTAGCTGCGTGAATAGCGATGTTTGGTATTGCTCTTTCCTAGCAACTTTATACACGTGTACCAGAAAACTAGTGTTTGAAAAATAGCTGGAATAATAATAAATAATAATAATAATTAATAACAATATAATTAATAATAACATTAGACAAATTAAAAAAAATAAACCATTGCCAATAAAGTAATGAGATAAATTGTAAAAGAAGAGGAAGAGAAAAAAATTCTAAAATGAACAGTAACCAGAAATGTATTACAAAAAGAATCCACACTGACTCTAGCTAATTTAGGTTTTATTTTTAATCAATCTAATGAATGGCAGCTACGAGTGCATGTCGAAGATGCGCACCCCAATTTTCAGCTTTAGGCATGCAACTTAAGTGCCAAACCCCATGTTTAGGCATCTAAATTCCCATCTAGCCATTCGAATGCAGGATTTAGCTGTCTAACATTAGGCATCTTAATTTGTACATAGGGTCCACCCTCTTTTCTTCTGATGGGTGTCCTCAACTGCCATTGACTTCAACAGGCCTGAGAACACATTACCAGACAGGAGAGGCTGAACACCTTGTCTGTTCAGGTTCTTAAAAGAGCATTGCCTCAGACCTGCCGCACTGGAGGCACTGAACACCCTCATTTCCCCTTCCAGTTGGTAGGAGTTGAAGGTGCTCAGCACCATGTTGCAGGAAGCACTCAGTATTTTAAAATGGTGTCAGATTCTGTTCTTCATATATCTGGGAGCTATGCAAATGTTTAATATAAATATACTGTATAAAGAAATCATTCTTTTCACAGAACAATTATTCTGGTTCCTAGCCGCTGCTTTATGTAAAACCCAAGACATAAAATTACTGAACTGGCATTTACTAAATACAATTTCTTCTGTTAGTTAATCAGTCAATGTCAGTGAATGAGACCTTTCAAACAGTCCATTCTCCTTTTCAACAATCCAGCTGGACAGACTGGAAGAAAAGCAGAAAGAGACGTATCGACGCATGTTGGAACAGCTCCTCTTGGCCGAGAAGTGCCATCGGCGTACAGTTTATGAGCTGGAAAACGAGAAGCATAAACATACAGATTACATGAACAAAAGCGATGACTTTACCAACCTCTTGGAGCAGGAGCGTGAAAGGTGAGCACTAGAGTTACTATGTAGCATATCCTCAACATCCTTGACACTTCCTCAGTTAAGAAGTGAAAAGTTTTTTTATGTGATACATCTATTGCCCATGCAAACTATTTGTAAAATGTCACCGTGATCGCATTGTACTAATAACATTGTTCAGGTCCAGAGCTGGGAGATCTCACCAGACATTTCTGTGAGTATGCACTTGAGTTTTAAAATGAATTTCCTTTGGCCACACCAGTGCCCAATTTGTGTTCATCTTCTGGAAACTTTTGAGTGATCCAATTTTATTTACATTGACTGAATTTTAATCTGGCATGCTGAACCCAAGGTGGTAGGCTTCTTATGGAATGGAACACCATTTAGCACAGCAGGAGGACATGGTTTCCAAACCCACATTCTAGAGCCTTGGCACGGAAGTGAGAAGAAGTTGATTGCACTCTTCACATCCAGGGCTATGAATTCACAATTGATTGAAGAGTGATGCTTCAGGCAAGGTGTGCGTGTCCCAGGAAGGAAATGTTTTCTAAAAATTGCCTAGTCCTGCCCATCTGCTACCGCAGACTCGTTGCAGACATTCCCAGGAAGAAAGATGCGAGATTCACTGAGTAAATTATTTGTTACCTATTTCCTCAGCGAGGTTCAAGACCATCTTTTTGTGGATGATGCATGAAGCTACAAAGTCTGTATGTCTTGGCTGCATTGCTGAGCTGATTGACAAATTTCAAAGAGCACAAACTCTGCTGCATTTTACCCAATAATGTGACATGTTGTCACCTTTACAGCATATCAAGAATTATGTTGGCTTGTTTTTCCAGTTAAGGAGTATGACAATTATCACCTTTGGTTGCTTGTGTATAAATTATTTTTATATATGCTGAGTATTCATGTATGTAGAGATACATATGTATGCCCAGAGACTACACAAACAAGGGTTTGATCCAAAGCCTATTGAAGTTAATTGAAAGCTACCCATTGCCTTTAATGATCTTTGGATCAGGCCTTTAGCACTATAGAAGTACATATTATGATAATAAATTATTATAAGAGTGTTGCAGTATTATCTTCTCTGATTACTTTCTACAAATCACCCAGCTCATTCCCTTTAATCTGGCAGTTATTGCCATCTCACCATCCCAGAAATGAATTTGTGTTGTCCAAATAATGTGGTTTTGCACATTGAACTCTCTCTCCTCCTAGACACTATTGGTGAGTGTTGTCCTGACAGAATCAGGTACAAAATATTTCTTTTAGATAAGGCACAAAGAGTGAATTACTGACATCTCCAAAATCAGCCTTTTTACTTTTTATACGTTGATTTTGCCAACATTATTTCTTATATATTTGATCAGCTTATAAAGTGACTACTGCAAAAGAACTGACGTGTGGTCTAAAAAGTGTAACACAAACACAAATCTATATTAGTGTGGGAGCATTTCAGATCAACCAGACTGAGCAACCCTAAACCATTTTGTTGGCTTGTCAGCAGCATTGCCAACCCCAAATGTTCACAAATCATGACTCAGGCCCCTCAGAATCATGAGATTGGCTTTAAAATTAGCCAATTAAAATGAGATTTCAATAAATAATTTCTGGGACTTTTTAAATTTGTCTTTTGATGTTTGATCCGTTAGCATTCCCATTTTCAATAATTTCTCCACAGCCATAAGGGCTAGAAACATACTTAAAAAAAAAAAGCCGAGATTCTTACATAGTCACATGACTAAAGGAGCTGGGACTTTAAGATAAACACCTAATATCCTGAGACTCACAATCAAATTATAAGAGTTGGCAGCACTACCAGCCCTGGAGATTAAAGCCCATTTTTTTATCCACCAATCAGGGATGGTTTGAAAGTGCCAGTGAGAGTTTCCCTGCAGCCTCACTTTATCCCTATCCTAGAAAAGCACCTTCAAAGGTGAGAGGTATTTATTATGTGTAAACCTGTTCACTGCCAATTGAATTGAGATCACCAGCTCAATTCATATGGGCCACTAACAGCCCTAAAATGATAAACTATTGGTCATCACTGGCTTGTGCTGTTTTCTTTGGTGATCTGGAGTTGAGTTCTGTCTCCTGTTACTAATCCTCTACATCCAGTCCCATCTCTATGTGCATTCTCTCAGTCTCTCTGCTCCATTATGTGCCTCCTTTTATAAACTCCATGAATAGTGCAAAAACAGCAATAAAAATTTGAATTTAAATATATATTGAAAGCAGATCCTTTGGGAACAGCCAAAACCAGTGGTTCTCAAACTTTTGTACTGGTGACCCCTTTCACATAGAAAGCCCCTGAGTGTGACCCCCCTTATAAATTAAAAATGCTTTAAAATATATTTAACACCATTATAAATGCTGGAGGCAAAGCAGGGTTTGGAGTGGAGGCTGACAGCTCGCAACCCCCTATATAATAACCTCGCAACCCCCGAGGGGTCCTGACCCCCAGTTTGAGAACCCCTGGCCAAGACCATTTGCCTCAGTTACCAGGGCAAATAGATGTGGGGCAAGAATTGCACCTGTTGAAGGCCCTTTGATTTTTTTGAGTGACAAGAGAAATCTGATACCATAAAAACGGCCATACTGGATGAGACCAATGGTCCATGTAGCCCAGAATCCTGTCTTCTGACAGTGGCCAATGCCAGATAATTCAAAGGCAATGAATAGAACAGAGCAATTATCAAGTGAGCCAACCCCTGTCATCCAGTGCCAGCATCTGACAGTCAGAGGCTTCGGGACACTCAGAGTTTGGGTCTGTATCCCTGACCATCTTGGCTAATAGTCCTTGATGGACCTATCCTCCATGAACTTATCTAGCTCTTTTTTGAACCCAGTTATACGTTTGGCCTTCGTAACATCCCAAGCAATAAATTCCACAGATTGACTGTGCATTGTGTAAAGTAATACTTCCTTTTGTTTTTTTTAAACTTGCTACTTATTAATTACTTTGGATGACTCCTGGTTCTTGCGTTATGTGAAGGGTAAATAAGACTTCCGTGTTTGCTTTCGCCTTATTCACTTATTCTTCCTTTCGCTCTCTCTCTTCCAAGATGAACAATCCCAGTCTTTCTAATCTCTCCTCAAACAGGAGCTGTTCCATACCCCTAATTATTTTTGTTGCCCTCCTCTGTACTTTTTCCATTTCTAATATATCTTTTTTGAGATGGGGTGATCAGAACTGCATGCAGTATTCAAGGCGTGTGTGTACCGTGGCTTTATATAGTGGCATTATGAGTGAGGTGTTGAAATTGTTCATTAATTTAGACTTAAATGGTCTCAACTCTTACCCTTCAGGGGACAGATCCTTTAGGATTTGAGTGCACAAGGAATTCAGGATCCAGACTAATCTGACTTCAAATAGCTTATTTCATATATTTTTTAAACCGAAAGTAATATCTTTGGAAGGACAAATTCAGAGAGAAAGATAAACTAGTGAAATGACTCATCACAAAATCCAAAAGAAACTGTCAGCAAGGTCTTTTCATCAAGAGACAGGGTTTGTAACAGGAAAGAAAATTAAGTTGAGATAAGAAAAACCCATCCCCAGCTCAAGGTTCAATCCAGTCTAAGACACTGGATGGGGAGCCAACCCCCCCAAAGGCATTTTCCCTTCTCTCTTCCCTTAGCCATTCTTATTTTACCATCAGCATCATCTATATTATTTATATTATGGCAGTTCTCTGAGGCCCAGGCCCCACTGTGCTCAGAACTGAACAAATACCCAGTCCCCCTTATGCAAGGGAAAGCAGAAGTTGAGCTGAGGTTAAACTGTTGTTCACCCCATTATACATGCAGTATCTGCAGTGGTAATGGAGAGTGGTTACCTAGAGAAAGAACAATCCTGTAGAAGGTCCATTTCTTACGAGTCAGGCATAATGATAATGCTTAGAAGTTATATGTCTCTTTCCCTCTACAAAGAACTTAACAAACCTTTCATAACTTTATAGGCTGCCTTTCAGAGACCACATGCCCCATACCATTTTGCCCAAGCTAAAGGTCGGAAGCTCTCTAAGAACAATCAGAGGGCTCATGGGTCTTACATCTTCCCAATCCTCATATATAATATTTACTTTATAATGCTATAATACTTATATAGTTTCAATCAAAAAATGTCAAAGCACTGGGTGGAAAACATAACAGGAGTGTATAAAACATACCCATCAAGGAGAGGAAATTGTAGCAAGCAGCAACCAGTCACAAAATGATCCCCAAGGGCTGTAGCTGTTTGACTTTGCCAAATTTAAAAAGCCAGCTCCAGAAAGGCATGCTGGGGAAAAAATCCTATAAGAAGGCATCTCTACACTAGGAAGAGTTGGAATCAGAAGTTCCAAAAGAAGATACTCCTAGAGAAAGGGTGGCCTTTGTGTTTTGTAAATATCTCTATAGTTTATTTTTATAAAGATTGGAATACAAACCACATATCTTGTTTCCTAGTCCTGTAACTTAACCACAAGTCTATCTTTCTACCCTTACTCACTTTTATCACCATTTTCTCCACCCTCATTCTCTTTTTCTTTGTACTGCTGTATCCTCTACTGTTTAGCAAAGTTTACTACTTGTCTGTTCTTGTTTCAATATCTCCATCAATGAGGTATATTATTAGATATAATTAATCCTGTTTGCAGTCTGTGCTGTCTTTCAGGAGGACGCCTGGTGGCCTGCTAAATTTGCCAGTATCTGTTAGGTACAGGTGATACCATTCCATTCAGCCAACTATCCAGGCCTTGCACTTCCATTGGCACCCTTCTTTCCTCCCACCCACTGAGGTCTAGCATACACATTAGCTAGATCCAGGCCTATTCCCAAGCCACTTCCCTGACAGTCTCCTTTCCTTCTGTTTAGTCTCCTTCTGTTGTTCTCTCCTACTGCAAAGCCTTTAGACTATCCAAACTCCATAGCCCTGTGGTATTGTCTTGCCTTCCCATTCATGGTTAGCACCCTGTCACTCATCTCTTCTTCCTCACTCATACTTGGTGGCTTTGGGTAGGGAAGTGGGGTAGTCTTCATTC